TTCCACTAAAATGAAAAACAGACTTTTATCAAAATGCAGCATTAAGAGATGAAAAGGCAAGCCACACAGAGAAAGATGTTGCAGTACATTTATCTGAAAAATCATTTAGAAGGACAAACCTCCATGACACGTTTACCTATGTAACAAACCTGCCCATGTACTCCCAAACTTAAAAGTTTTTTAAAAAGGAAAAAAATCATTTAGAAGGGAGATAGTCCAATTAAAAATGGACAAAACCTGAATGGGCCCTGAATAGAAATACTAATATTCTAGGAAACATAAATTAAAATATACTCACTAAAATGTCTAAAATGAAAAACAAAATCTAGAAATATCAAGTCATACTGAAGATACGGAGCAACAGGAACACTCTTACTAAGTTGGTACAGGTGTCGATTTGTGTAACCACTTTGGATACTAATAGACAGTATCTACTGAAGTTGACTGAGTAATCCTATATCTATATACCCAACAGAAACATGCACACATGTGTACCAAAGGCATGAATGTATGACTGTTCATAAAAGTGTAATAGTACAACAAATAATAAATGGCCCCAAACTGGAAATAACCCTATGACCCCTACAACAGTATGCATATAAAATTATAAAATAGATTATTATACAATAGTGACAAGGAGTGGAGTACTGGAGTGAACTGTATGCAATAACATGGAAGAATCTCACAATCATAATATTATCCAAAAGAAGCCAGACACGGAAGAGTATATTGAAAGGGTCCATTTATGTAATTAAAAAACAGATGAAATAACTCTATGGTGAAGTCAGAGGTTACCTTAGGGAGGTAAGGGAGGACACACGAGGGAAGCTTCTGGGGTTCAGTTAATGTTCTGTGTCTCCCTCCAGATGGTGGTTACAGCAATACATTAGCTTCATAAAAATTAATCAAGCTATACACTAATGATTTGTGCACTTTTCTACCTGTATAATTCAATCAAAAAACATTCAAAAATCGTTTAAAATCCTTTAAAAGTGGATACGCAAACTTAATAAATGAAGAGTTATACCATGAACCTAGATGGAAAGACTCAATATTATAAATTATTTAATTTCTCCAATGAATCTTCAATTAAATGTAATTCTAATTAACCCCCCCCCTTTTTCTTGTTACTTGTTAGGGTGTTTCTAAAGTTTAAGAAAGTAAATGTGTAAGAAAAGGAAGGCAATTTCGAAAATAATTAGGAGGACTTGCCCTGAAAAAAAAAATGTACCATAACATCACTATAATTTAAATTGTAAATTTCTATTTATAAGTTAGTATTTGTAAGAAACAGACAAATAGTTGCCACAGAAGAGAATCCAGAAAACGTCTGCAAAGATGTAAAATGAGGGTATAATAAATACTCTAATTCAAATTGTTGGGGAAAGATGGACTCTTCAATAAATGGTATAATTGGCTGAGTTGGAAAAGCAAAACAAAAGCAGATTTAGACACCTGTTTCATGCCACACACAAAATCCACATATCTAAATGGCTCTTTTTTTTTATTTTTAAGGAAAAAAAAGCTATTTCCTTAAAGAAGACAGATTTTTCTCAGCCTTTCTCAGCACAACACAACCCACAAGGTATCAAATATAGATGATCAGATGTCAAAAAATTTTGAAAATCCTGCACTGAACTAATTTTAAAAGACAAGAAACATAACTGGAGAAAACACTTATAAAACATAAACCAAGGGCATATGAAAAGCTTCTACAAACCAACAGGAAAAAAAACTTGCTAGAAAAAGGGCTTGGGATATGACAGGCAATTATTCACAGAACAAATACAAATAACAAAAAGCAATAATAATAAGCATTATAATTAAAATGAGATATATTTCATTTGCCAATTAGCAAAAATACAAAAAAGGTCCATATCTCCCAGGTTGCTGGGAGCTCACACTCTCAGCCAACATGAGATGACGTCTACATCAGTACAACTTTTTGGTGGGCAATTTTGGCTAAAGGCAGAAATATACAAGTATGCAAAGATAAATGTATGATGATGTTCACCAAAACCCATTAGCAGATGAGTAATTAAATAATTGGGTGCATATATATATATATTTTTGTTACATGCAATCATTAAAAATTGTGTTACCCTTCTACATGCTAACATGAAAACTGTTCTGCAATATACTTACTTAAAAAAATTCAATCTATGAACAATATCCATAGCAATATTCTGTTTTTTATAAGAAAAATAAAATTTAAATGATCTGTTTATAATTATGTAAAAAAAAATTGGAAGGAGACACATCACATTGGTTAGTGATTAGCCCCATAGGACTTTAAGTTTTGCAGTATGAATATACTATATTTGCAAGCTATAAAATTAATAGGACTTTAAAAATGTAAATATAGAAAAAATAAATAAAATGTTTTTTGTTTAGCACAGGAATTCCTCTTTTAGAAATGTATCCTAAGTATTTAATCAGAGAAGTATATAAAAATGTATACTCAAGGATGTTAAGGAAAATTTATAAAAGAAAAAAAACTAGAAATAAATCCAACAGCATTATAAAATAGGTTTCGGCACATCTGTGCAATGGAAAAATATGAAGCTACATAACAATCTACTTTCAAAGGCTAAAGATCTTTTACAAATGTACAAAATGGTAAATACAATTAGATTACAGTTTTTGAAGTATATTTTTATAAGGAAAAAGTCCAAAATTAAACATCAAAATGCTAAACATTCCTATCTATAGGTAATTTGAGACCTGTGATTTTTATTTCCTATTTGATAGTTATTATTATTTACCAATTATTAATAAATGTCTACTGCCTTAATTATTTAATTATTAATAAAAACTGCCTTAGCATTTTTAAAGCATTATAAGTCTTAACAAAGCAAATGGTGGTTTCACTTCTATTTTTTATTTGTATTTCTTTGAGACAGGCTTTCGCTCTGTTTCCCAGGTTGGAGTACAGTGGCATGACCATGGCTTGCTGCATCCCCTATCTCCTGGGCTCAAATGATCCTCTTCCCTCAGCCTCTCTTAGCAGCTGGGCCCACAAGTACATGCCACCACACTAGACTAATTTTAAAACTTTTTGTAGAGATGGGGTCTCACCATATTGCCTAAGCTGGTTTCCAACTGCTAGGCTCAAGCAATCCTACTGCGTTGGCCTCCCAAAGTGCTGGGACTGCAGGCATGAGACACCACACCTGGCTTTCCATTTTTGTATATGATGGTTCAGTCTAAAAATGTTTGCCATCAAATTCAGTGTTTGCTTTTAAAATTATCTTTTGAGATGATGTATCACCAACATTAAGCACTTTATATATATTAGCAATTTAATCACATGGAATCCTCTTCAAAAAGATAAGTATTAATAAACTGAAAATAAATAAGACTTTTAAAAAGGAAAAAACATTATTTTATTTATAGTTATTACTCAACTTGAATTCTAATATTCTTTTTCTAGCAAGAAAATAAAATTTGTCATATTTTAACTGTAAAACTTGCAAGCACAATTAATGATAAGTTCCTTAAGTACTATGAAAATATAAAGGTGTAACCACCTGTATTTTATATGATCTATCATACAAAAATACAGTCACTGTTTCTATCTGGAATATTCAACTGTGAGTAAAGACTGGTAGAATATTCAGCCATGAAAGAAAAACATTTGCATTTCTGTAAAGTAATTTTGTATGAGAGATGTATTTGCAGATGTTTTAACATTTTTTTATTATTAAATGATTTTAGTAACACAAAAAAGATGTGTGAAATTAACCCACTTAATTTTGAACAGCCATTCCTATTCAGCTCAAAGAACACTGTCATATGTGCTAAAGGTAAAATGGTATATGGAGAATTATATCTGACTAAAATGATTCTCCTAAAAATAAGGACGTTTACAACATGACATCTCCTTAGCTTGGTATAATCAAAAAAAATTTTTTAATATATTTTATTTTTATTTTTTGAGAAGGAGTCTTGCTTTGTCTCCCGGGCTGGAGTGCAACGGTGTAATCTCAGCTCACTGCAACCTCCACCTCCTGGGCTCAAGCGATTCTCCAGCCTTGGCCTCCTGAGTAGCTGGGATTACAGGCGCACGCCACTATGCTTGGCAAATTTTTGTTATTTTTAACGGAGATGGGTTTCACCATGTTGGTCAGGCTGGTTTCCTGACCTCGTGATCCATCTGCCTCGGCCTCCCAAAGTGCTGGGATTATAGGTGTGAGTCACTGCACCTGGACACTTATTTTTAAAAACAGAAACAAGAGTCTTGCTTTGTTGCCCAGGCTGGTCTCAAACTCCTGGCTTCAAGTGATCCTCCTGCCTTGGCCTCCCAGAGTGCTGGGATTACAGGTGTGAGCCACTGTGCGCGGCCACTTTTTAAAAAAAATAGAAACAGTCTTGTTTTGTTGCCCAGGCTGGCCTCAAACTCCCAGCTTCAAGCAATCCTCCTACCTTGGCCTCCGAAAGTGCTGGAATTACAGGCATAAGCCACTGTGCCTGGCCTCAGCTTAGTATAATTTTGCACCTATTTAAGAAGTGTCTGACAAGGGGATTACTGGAAGTAAAGAAAAGTGGACAAGAGAGCTCCACAAACACAGACAAGTGAGTTCATTGTTTGCAGTGGGGCTTTCTTTTCCATTAACAGGATTTTCAGGCTTGGGGCTCCAAGAAGCCTATGATCAATTCAACTGCACATCCTTTACTAAAGGATTGTTGCTGCCCTATGGTCTGTGTTGGCACAGTCACATGCACAATGCTTCCCCTTCCAGGGCTTCCCTCTCCTCAGTGGTTAGAAACACTGCTCGGCTGCCTGGCTCAATCTGCATTGATTGTATATCCTGAGGCCAGCGCACAGTGTCCAGGTCAACTAAATGTTTTTCAAAATGTGGTTTAACTTGGTTTGCTGTAGCTACAAAAATCAGCCAGCTTTGCAGAAAACAATTTATTAAATGAATGAAGACTGGTCATCATCGCTAAATACAGACAAAACACTGTGACTCAAGCATGCTCTCATTATAGAGACACTGTTGACACTTATTAGCTGACTTTATTGGATTGCTTTTCTTATTTCCATACGTTTTAGGCTGTACCAACAAATATAAAAAACAATAGAAAATTACACTACATTAGAGGCAAACATTATACACGCAATGGAATAAACTAGACATAAAACTAGATTTTTATTTAGAGCACAAGTACGCAGACAAATATGAAGCGAAAACAGTGAACTGACAAAAATGAGAACATCTTAGTGTAAAAATCAGTGAGCAGCAAAATAAAGATGAAACCGAGAGAGTACTACTCTAAACAAAAAAGTTATTATTACAAATATTGACGGGCAACAGATAATTTGACCAAAAACATCAGTCACATATTTGATACAGTATCAGGAATTTCCCTCTTTTTCAATTCACCTTTCTCCTCTTTCTCTCACAAATTATAATTGTAGCAGCTTTTAAAAAGTTTTTAAATATGATTTGAGTAAAACAGGCATGCGTGCTTTTTTCACGTAAATCAGTTAAAAGCCAAGTGGCCAGAAAATGTATATAAAAATAACAATCTATAAAATTTGGGGAAAAGTAAATGCATCCTCAAAGAACAGTACTGTATTTTTTTCATATAGTAGAGTTAATCTGTTGAAACAGTTTTCTCTAAGTATTACTTGTGGTTATTGTATTTCTACACAGATGTCTGGTCTTAAATTATAGTGACTAAATTGATAAAGCTTCTTATTCCCAGTTAACTTCGAAAGGATAGAGTAAAAGAAACCTTAAACACATTCTTAAGATTTATAAGAAGGATGGAAGGCCTTATTGAATACAGCATTCGTTCTAAGCCATGAATTCTTCATTTTCATACATAGTAAGTCTGTTGAATCAAAAACACTTCCAATCATTTTCCCACCAGATTTCAGGCCTATGGATTTGGAGTTACATTTGCGGACTACAGCATAAAAGGTAAAACTATTACTGACCATGGGGCTAATCTAGCAAATCTACATCTAACTCTGGCAGTGAAAACATTTAAAATTGTGGGAGAAATTGGAAACGCTATAAATTAGAAACTACTAAATATATATGTATTTGATTTAAAAACTGCCCTAGGCAAAAAGGCCTCAGGACAGAAGTACAAAATGTACATAAGACCCAAAGGTGGGAAATAAATCCAAGAGCAGGATTCAAATAAATGTGCCCACTGCTAAATTGTTAATCATCAGGATATATCATGCCATAATCTTTGGTGTCCAAAATATAAAAGGAATTCTTGGTATAAAGGCTCTGCCTGAAAACCTCTGATGTAGGAATCAAGGAATACTTTTGTGTGACTCTGGAGGCCACTGGACAAAGGCAGAACTTCTTTAGACCATACATAATTAAATTTATTTTTATTGCTTTATTACCTCATAGAGGGGCAAATGTCTAAAGCATATTCTAGAGAAAAGGCTCACAGTTAAAATCTGCCTTTGTTTTCCTTTAAGCAGAGGTGGTGGGGGCCTTGATGAATTAGTTTCAGTAGTCTTGGAATTAAATCAGCAATTTCAGCAGCAGTGTGTCCAAATACAGCATTGGCTGTTGCTACATATCTGACAGTCACACAAAAAGTTTCCATATAATTCAGGAGATTACCCCTTTATTAAAGGAATCTTGTAATTATAAGCCCATTGAACTGACAGAAGGAAACCCTACACCAAGTGAGGAGTTCTGGTAAGTTGGTGTAAAAAGGCTCTTCAGGAGGCAGCCTTCCTAATGCTTTATGACAGTTCCCCCTACTCATTTTAAGAGTATAAATAAAAGTATAGTGGCATTTCTCCCATTTTACATCTTAACAACATGTAGTAATCTGTTGAAACAATTTTCTCTTTACTTTCAGTTTGTTTGAAATTGCTGAGGCAAGATGGAAACATCAGGTACCAAACTAGACAGGTGGGCATGACAAAATCCTGATGGCCATAAGGCAACGAAGTATGTTAAGTAAGTCTATGTAAATGCTGTGTGTAAAAGTTAACACGTGGGAACTGTGAGGTTTCAATGGTTCTTTATAAAGAAAATAAAATTACTGAATATTCTTTTTTTTTTTTTTTTTTTGAGATGGAGCCTCGCTTCCTCACCCAGGCTGGAGTGCTGTGGTGCAGTCTCAGCTCACTACATCCACCTGCCAGGCTCAAGCGATTCTCCTGCCTCAGCTTCCTAAGTGGCTGGGATTATGGGCGTGAGCCACCACACCCAACTAATTTTTGTGTTTTTAGTAGAGACTGGGTTTCGTCATGTTGGCCAGGCTGATCTTGGACTCCTGATCGCAGGTGGTCCACCCGCCTCAGCCTCCCAAAGTGCTGGGATTACAGGTGTGAGCTACCATGTCTGGCCTGAGTGTGCTTATTAAATGAAATTCAAACAATAAGCCATGATCACCAACAAAAATAATGTATGCACCTCATAATCTTCTGCTATTACATTGTTCAGCCTAAAAATATCCAGATCAAGGAAAAGTCTACTGCTCTATTGTCATTCGATTGGATTTTTCTGCAAGATACTCAAATATCAGAAGAAAAAAATATTTAAAATTCTAGAGGGGCAAGTACTAGAAAAATTCAGAATTCTTGCTTTCTCTTTTTGCAAATTTTTTTGCTCTCAAAGAGCTGGGAAAGTGTCGAAGAGAAGCTGACCTAGCCTGGAATTATAAATATGACACAAAATTTTCAAGTTTGGCACCACTTTGACAACTACATTATTTCTTTCTGTAGAGGCCACTAAGTGCTGGCTCAAAATATTAAACAATGAAGTACATAGTTACTTAAGTCACACATACAAATGTTGACTGGCACAGCCTTTTAACACAGTTTTTCAGTTTAACTACAGTAAGTGGTAGCAGCAATGGTTAACAATTCCACATCAACACCACAAACACACAAATGAAAGAGCACCTATTACAACATGCAAAATCTCAACATCACTGAATATTACACAATGCATAGAAATGGTAATAATTTTTGGCAAGTTTTTTTTTTTTGTAACAAATGCTTTATAAAACAAGTTATTTTGTTATAAATGCTATTTAAAAAGCTGTAACAATCTAATGGATTATAGATATAAAAGTTCAGTTAGATAAAGTTAATCTGAGTGGGTAAATACTAAATATGGACCTCCTACTTCATCCAATATAAATAATCAATTATAAATTAATTTCTAGTGGAAGTATACTAAGGTATTTGATTTATAAAAGAATTACAGAAAATAAATGGACATAAAAATCACTAAAATACAATACACACAATTACTGTTAGGAATCTATAGTGCTGATATCTTCCTAATTCTACTTATCACAAACAAATAAATAATGCCAAAGAATTTTCAAAGCTCTTATTGAAATGAATGTATAATGGTAAAAATGCTAATTCCAGTGTAATACCAAGACAAACATTAGAAGTCGAACATAATTCAACATTCCATAAAAAGACAAATCATACTGTACCTTTTTAAAAAACACCTAACATTTGAACTTTTTTCAACTATGATCTGGTAAATATGATTTTTAAAATAAAAATTTGTGAAATGTTTCAATATTTATGCTTGAGTTCCTTTTCAGAAGAGTAAGCAAGATGAGAAATACAAATAATTTGCATTTAAGTAAGTCTATGTTTCTACATCTACTTACTGTAGGCCTCCTCATTCCTTAGTTACCATTTTCCCCTTTTACTATATCTAAATAAATTTACTTCAGAAGCATCCTAATTATGTTGATAGAAAACTGATCCTCTGATTGAGAATATGTCCCAAAACTTTAAATATGGTTTTTAAAACTTGCCATAGGCTAAAAGATATTGTGGGATGAATTTAGAACCAGCAGTATAGACGCTATGTAGGTGGATATCCAAGTGAATTATCAAGTTAAACAAAAATATACTGTCTTGTTCATAATCTATAACTAGAATTCACATTCTTGATGACTGTAGTTTGTTTCTCCTCTATAATTGAAAACTAAATATAAATGGGGCAGGCTGAGAGATGTTCGTTAGAATCAAGGAACAATTACATTTACAGATTTTCCTATTAAACTCCAAAAAGAAAAGTTGCTAAAACTAAGATGTAACATAACACAATGAAAAGTGAAATGTCACATTCAGAAACAGCCTATTGGAAATTGGCAGCTTGAATCTACTCCTAAGATAAATTTGTGGGTTTTAAAAACAATTAAACTTTGGAAAACAAGAAGTAGAAATACAGGGTTGTTTTTCTTCTCTAAACTCTACCTATGGACAGGAAGTCAGTGCCTGGTTCTAGTCCTGGCTTTAACCCTCACAAGGGAAATCTCACACCCTAACAAGGTGTGAGCACCTGGGCATTCACCTCCTTTCTCTGAGGCTATTTCCTCTTCTGCAAAAGAAGGATGGATTAGGCCAGAGCAGTGGTTCGTGCCTGTAATCCTAGCACTTTGGGAGGTGGAGGTAGGGGAATTACTTGAGTCCAGGAGTTTGAGACCAGCCTGGGCAGTACAGTGAGATCCCATGTCTATGAAAAATTTTTAAAATTAGTCAGGCATGGTGGTATGAACCTGCAGTCCCAGCTACTGGAGAGTTGGGAGGATTGCCTGAGCCCAGGAGTTCAAGGCTGCAGTGAGTTGTGATTATGATACTGTACTCCAGCCTGGGCAATAAGCGAGACCGTCTCACATAAAAAAAATAAATAAATGAAAAGGTGGATTAGATGTTTCCAATTTTATTTTCCAGCTAGCACACCTAAAGGATGCATTCTAGAGGTAACAGTAGCTCAGTCCGCCTAGTGAGTCTCAAAGAAGGAGAGTAGGGGGTAAGAAACATGAGACTTCTGGGGAATTTGTTTGAGGTTGTGTTCTCTTGGCTATTTCTATCTCCTTGCCCTCCCCACCTCCATGAGGACATGGTGACCCCTACTCTTCACAGCACTAAAAATCACTGGGCTAGATGAGCTCTTGGGTCTGTTCCAGATCCTGCCTCTATGACAAATAATTCAACAAAGACAATGGTTTACATTAATACTCAGACCTAATTAATATTCTAATCAAACTGGGACTCTGACCTAATTAATACTCTGGTTCTAATTCACAAAGGTCATTGTTTACTTAAGAACTCAATTTAAGTGTATTAAAATGCCATCTTTAAAAAAAAACATAATTATCAAGCTTTTGCTCAGTTTTGGCAGGCCCAGTGGTCAATTTATAAACAGGTTGCACCATGAGAAATGTTAAATGTCTCCCCCTTCTGTTTAGAAAAGTAAAGTTAGAGTTCTTGGTACTCTGTCAACATCATCCCTTCTTTTCTGTTGTTATATCAGATTGTGGCTCAGATAAAGCCATAATCCTGTGGCTGTACTAGAAATATACCAACTCCCAACAGGATATTTGCAATGTATTTCTTTATTCCAGTTCTATTTGATGGCAAGGAGCTCTAAAATTATCCTAGCTTCATCACTTTGCTTTACGAAAGACTATGCACTCAATATCATCTCAGCCAGATTCAAGTGGGAAGGGAAAGCAATGTCTGAATACCATGCATTAAACAAAAAACAATTGAGGATGCCCTTACCAAAGTGCATTTCTTAACTGATCACTGTCTATCTGTATCATATCATATGGTAGATGTACAGAGACATAGCTTGCATAATACAATTGTGTTTAGGAAACATTTATTAAACTGGTAGAGAACTTGCTAATTCTTCAATACTTATAACTATTTTTTAATGAATGAACCCTTTAAAAGATATCTTGCTGCAAGAAATTATATGTTCCCCTTGACTTTCCTCCCTAGGCTTAGACATTTATTTCTTCTATCATATGGGAGAGAATTTTTATTTACAGATGCTTAGTTTTACAGCTTTATTTTGGCTAGAGAAATAAGGATCAAAATATACTTTTCCTATAGATAATCAGTCAGAAGAGGGCCGATTTAGATGAGAAGTGTCTGTCTCACATTAAGCAGATAGTCAAACCAGAAAAAATCTGAATAGGTTCACAGTCTACCTCTAATTCATATTTAGTATCTGGTCAACGGCAATCAATATTGGCTTATAGGCATTCTCTCTGCCTAGACGCTCCCATTTCCGTCTGAATTATAAAGGACTCTCTTGAAATTGGGGTTTTGGCTTTAACTGGGGTAAAAATAAGTGACAATCACTTAAATATATACTTCCTTATGCATATACACACTTGCCTCCATGAAAAAGTTAGGTGTTTTTTAAAGAGTGACAAAAACTTCTGCTCTCTGCTGGTAACCAGGGGTAAACAAACTGCTTAATAGCTCATCTCAAAATAACTATAGTAATGGGGCCTAAATAATGTTGTACTAACAAAAGTGCTGGTGATGGCTCTGATTTCAATCAAGGTAGAGCTGAATTAATATTGATGACTTTATTACACCTGGGATTTCATTTATAATTTATAACTTCAAAGGGTCTACAGAAGCACAGCAATACTTCTTGAACAAGCAGCTATAGCAGAAAAAGAGAGTGCTTAATGGGATCTAGATCTAATTTCAGATACGGATGCTCTTATATATTAACTGTGACATGGGCAAAACATTTGACTTCTCTGATTTCCTCAATTATAAAAGAGAAATAATAATACTTACCTAATAGGACTATTGTGAGAATTAAGTGAAACAACTTATACTCAATACAATAATAGCACATTGTCAGTGCTTAAGAGATGATAGACACATGCATGTGTGCACCTACGTGAACCCAATGGATAGTACAGAAATGACTTCACTTTATTGATTTTAAAAGAGGCTCTAAAGAAGATTCTCCACAAACTACTCAAAGAGGCATTATGTATGGATTCTGCAGCAAACCAACATATTCAATGAAAAAATAATGCATAAATTGCATGAGTACAAAGTTTGGAAAACTATGCAAAATAGTGTTAGCATAGAATCTTTTGCTGGGCTCTCAAAAATGGAGTAACTTTTATTACAATGTCTTTTATAAATTCTTTGAGAGCAGGAACTATTTCATGTATCTTTATACCCCTCCCAGTTTGGACCCTAGCTGTTCAATAAATATTTGTTGATGTGACTACAAATTTTCATCTCAATAGTCATTGATTTCATGGCATCTGGAAGCTAAGCCTTATGACTTAGACAAGTAAATGCTATGAAAGTTTCAGCTAACAATAATCTAATTGAAAAACCAAAGTTGTTGATAAATATTTATAAGTTATATTCAGACACACCCTAAATAACCATGATATCAAATGGAATCTTAGAATAAGCTGTCTTGGATAAATATCCTGACTATGTCTAACTTTTTCAAACATTATAGTTTTTTTTTTAATTGCTAGCATCTATGGTTTTCAATAGTCACTCACATGAATATGGTAGAAAGATTATGCAGCTATGTCATCCAAATGTTGACAGACTGGTTCAGTGCTTTTGCTGTAGACAGTGCAAAACTTTCAGTCACGTGAGGAACACTGGAGAGTTTCTTACATGACATTGCATTGATCTTAAAGTATAAGCACTGCAAATAATGACTTTATCTGAGCCACAGGATTGCCTGAAACAGCAGCACATTCAGTTGTAGTGAATACCTGCTGGACTGTTGATTTTTTGCTAAAGTATATGTGCAATTTTGACATTTGCCTCTGCCACAGCACGAACATGATTTTTTTCTTAAGTTAATATTCCAAATGATAAAAATGGCATCTGGCAGTATCATTTAGATAAAAACACAAAATTTAGAGGTAGTTGTGATTTTTCATAATATAATTAACTCCAAGAGATAACACCAGCACTTTGGGAGGCCAAGGCAGGAGGATCTCTTGAAGCTAGGAGTTCGAGGCCAGCCTAGACAACACAGTGAGACCTCATCTCTACAAAAAATTAGCTGAGCATGATGGCATGCGCCTGTAGTTCCAGCTACTTGGGAGGCCAAGGCTGGAGGATTTCTTGAGCCCAGGAGTTTGAGGCTACAGTGAGCTATGACTGTACCTCTGCACTACAGCCTGGGTGACAGAGCAAGACCCCCACCCTGTCTCTAGTCAAACAAACAAACAAAGACAGATACTGTAATTTGGCTATGCTTCTACCAAGCCATTATTCAGAAAACAGTTTTCTGAAACTGAAAGTCACGATGTTCCTATTTTGGTTTGAGTTATCACAGAAAAATATAAATAAATAAAAATAATTCACATTCTCAATTTGTGTTATTCTACCTGAAAATGCAAAGTGATTAAGCAGGACAAAGATTTTAATTTTAGTATTTCAATAAACAAAGATAGGGAACTGACATTTTCTAGTTCTGCTTTCTCAGTGCATACTGACTACTTTTCTTCCTTAAGACAAACTTCCCGTGCTGTCAGAAACATATCAAAAATTTAGAAACTATGTCAATTAAAAATTAAATGCACCATAACATTTTAAGTGTTTCACAGAGATCTTTTTTCAAACATGAGCGGTAACCACATAAAAATAACTATTTTTTTAAAGAGTTCCCTAAGTAGGCTGTCTGATGCAGTAAGGACTAGCTACAGAGTAAGGAGAGAAGGAAGGTTTTGTAGAGAAGTGGGAGAAAGAGGCTCTGTGGTTCCAAATGTATGGGCGTGGGAGAGGACTAAAGGACATGGTGCCACCATGAAAGATCACTCAGGATTCCTTTTCATCAGCCTTCCTTCAGAGATTTTAAGATACTGTGTCCCCAGCTCTGGCTCAAACCACTGAAAATTAATTTATGAGCTGGTCCTGAGAAAGGTAAATAGGAAAAAACTCTGGAGTAAAATGACATAGTACCATTTCTTTAGCTATGATCTAATTGACTTATTTTGACCTGACCATAAAATGAAGATAACTCACCTCTTCAAAGTTGCAAGATTAAGACAATGTATATAGAAATAAATATGTAAGTACTGAAATATATCTGAAGAAATATTTGCCAAATGTTAACAGTAGTTATCTTTGGCTAGAAGATTTATGAGTATGTATTTTGTTTTCTTTATCCTTATCTGTATTTTCCTATATATATTTTTACGATTAGTAACTATGACTTACATATGTGATGCATGTAAGTGACTCGGCACAGTGCTGGCATGCATGCTAGCTCAAAAATGGCAGCTCTCATCATCATCAATACAAAAACATAAAGCAAGACATTCTCTGCCCTTTCTTCTTGTTTTTGGATGTATAAATAAATGCTTTTCTATGGAGGAAAAGCCATGAGAATGAGGTTAATTGCACCACACAAAGTCCACGGCCGACTTCCCACTCCTGAGCCAAATGAAAGGTCACAGCTTAGAGGAATAGGTCTTTACATGGTTATGACTTGGTGTTGGAAGGAGTTCCCTGACCATGGGAGAGCTTAGCTCTGTGATGATTTAGCAAAGCAATTCAGAATGGAAGTCGTTCTGCTTATATACCAAATTAGTGTACAAAATACCACCTACCTTTCTAGCTAATGTGAATTATGAGGTTGCCTTGAAGAATAAATATCTCCCAATAGAATTCTCAGGTCCAGTGAAACAACCAAGATTTGGAATTGATGTGTGTTGCTGGTTACACAGGATAGGAACCTAGCTCAGCTTTCTTGTGGTTCTAATGTCTAAATTAATTTTATTTTTGAAGTATCTTAACTAATAATTCACCACGGGCTTCAAGACTTGAAAACAAAGAGTTTGGAAAAACTGCCACAAATGTTTAACCAAAATTATTATAATAATTGCAGGATATCATAGATAAATGCATTTATATTTACTACAGAAGAATCTTGCACATTTTCAAGAGTGTCAATATTCCTTTGATTTCAACTACAGAGTCAAATACCTCTCCTTGCCCCAGGAGAAAAGAGACTGTTTAATGATTCTATATAAATAATTTGGGGAATATGAACTTTGAAGACGAAGAGTTTTTTTGTTGTCTTGACTACTGCTTCTAGATTTTTAGTAAGACTTTCCACCCTTTACCTTCTCTTTATATGCAATCTAATGCTTGGCAACATTTTCAAAGCCTTGGTAGGTTTAAATTTCTTGTCAAACTTCATTTATATCCATTTCTTAGGGACAAAAAAAAAATTCTATCCAGGTTCAAGCACAGTAGTTAAAATGAGCTATGTAACAGTCCTTTTAGCCACAATATTAGACTTTGCATATTATTTTAAAATTACGTACCTCCCTAAAAGAATGGCACCTTCATTCCCTCCTTCTACCCTTCCCCCGCCAAAAAAAGATGTTAGCTAAACATCTAGATTTTCGTACATTGTAAAAAAATGAGGCACAGGAGCTAAAACTCTAATCAAGTTAAAAAAGAGAACATGTAAATAATTTAATGTTGAGTTTATACAACACTTTTATAATTCTGGATCTAGCTGAATACAGTTTTGTGTAAGCAGTGAAGTTAATGTCTCCTCTTGATTAATATATAATTTTAAAAATTAAAAAAATAAAGCCATTTATTAAGGAGACAACAAATGGGAGTTGGGGTGGGAAGGAAAAGCAGGAATTGAGGACACAAGCATCTAAGTCTAGGATGACTTTCAATTTCCTTTTCGACAGTTTCTAAAAAACAGAAGTCTCTACTTTATGTTGCCTGAGAACCATGTATGGTTTTGTAAAGTCTGTAACAGTAACTACATTTGATCACCCACAAGTACATCTGCCTTAAGCCTATAAATACTATGTTAGTAATACTAAATTATCTCCATTGGTTTATTTGTAAAAAGAAAAATATATTATATATTTATATTTTTATAAAGTTAATTAACACTGAGGGCAGAGGAAGGGGAACGAGAAGCACTGTATAATCACAGTTTCTCTGGATGCGGTAACCAAACAGGAGTCTTGCTCAAGCCACCTGGTCAAGCGGTGTCTGAGGAAGAGTCATAGGAGGCGGAGACGATGAAATTGCCATTGTTGGAGTGCCCAGCCACTGACTGGGCAGCCTGCTGGCTCAGATTGTTACAGATCAGCACCAGCTGATTGCTCTGGGCCTCAGACAACGTGCTGCAGCTCTGATACACACTGAAGTTGGTTTTCCTGCCAGGGATGTTGCCCTTCTCACACATGGTCTTCACCATCTTGGCCAGCTTGTTCTTGCCAAGGGCCTGGCAGTTGTACCAATGCAGAGCCGCCAAGTTCACGACTGGCTTGATGGATAAGTAGAAAGGGGCATCCTCATAGCGCATGGCAGGAGGCCGCCGCTGGGCATACTCCTTATAGTCCTGGACGGGGCAGGTCTGCGGGGCATGCTGGGTAGCATACACACGGGAGTCTGTCCCCCCTCTCTTGGTTTTGGCATTCAGGTCCCCAGTGTCCTGACCCATCCACTCCAAGTACTCCAGACCCGTCTCTGTTACCCGGAGCCGGATATCACCCCATTTTAAGGTAGATCCATGGAAGCCTGTGCAATGCCCAAAAGCTTTTGTGTTGTTGAGCCAGACTAGGTTGAGTAAACCCTCAGGATTATATCGGCTTAGCAATCCCCTTTTCCGCAGGATGAGCTCGTCAGCAAAGGTGAGCTTCATGGACTTGTGTGGCTTATTTCCTTTTCCTTTGCAGCGGAGTTCAATTTGCTTCTGCTTCAGGGCCTCTTGGGAACGCTTGAATTCCTTATCTCTGGTGATACTGTAGCCATACCTGTGTTCTTTTAGGTACCTTTCGAGCCCACACTGATAATTGGCCAAGCTGTTGGGTTCGTATTCGGACCCATCCTTCTGCCTGGCGTCAACAAAGAAAGAGGCAAGGTAGGCATCCAATTCCTTGCAAGGGATGACATAAATCTCTCTTGTTTCAGAAGGATACTTGGAGATGAGGAACTCACGGAAATTGCGGAGCGCGGTCTGCGTGCTCCGGATGGTTTTCTCGTTCTGCTCCCTGCTGAGCTCAGCTGCTCTTTCATCCTGGTCTGCAACAAATTGGGGGGGGAGGGATAGAGAGGGTGTTGATGAGTTCAGACAATGCACTTTCTACTCTGAAATAAAGTTTCCTTTTATAATGACAAGGGAAAGGAAGAATCAATTCTACAGAGATCACTGATAAATGTTATTTACATACCTGTCACATTATAATAGCCAACTTCAGTTTCACAAATGATCTACTAGACAAGCATATGGCCCATTATAAGTGAAAGGAGTTTCCTGTGTCACTGGCACATAGTTTAGTGCATGAAGGTTTGTGGAAAGAGAGAGATTCGAGACGGCCTTCGTTTTAGGAAAAATGTGAAACAGAAATGTGCTATTTATCCTACCGCAGCATGCAAGGGCCCCATTAGCGCTGACAGACTCATTCCGAATCACTACATTTGTGAAAAAAGAGGTTGTACTGGTTCCATTTTATTGAATTAAACTAAAATTTCTATATTTGCTATTTTAACACATCACTAAAAAGACTGTATTTAACAATGACAAAGCACATCTTTTATGGCAGTTAAATACTTGTTCTACAGCAACTCAGGTAAACAAAGTTTAAGAGCATTCTGCATGTAACTGCAAGGCATCTGTAGTAAGTGATGAATGAAAATATTTGGTATTTTGGAGGGTAATGAGGATACAACATCATAGCTATAAAGACAGGACAGTTACATTTGAATTTATAGTCAAGATGTAAAGAAGGGGGTATGTCTCCAGGATCCATCATTTCTTTTTATTACTTTATTATTTGTACTCTGCTACCAAGGACGTGAGGTGCCTCTTTCTGTTAGGGATCATCCATGATTAAGTAATGCTGCCCTAGAATAGGTGTCCTCACAGAGTCCTGTGCTTCAGAATCACCTAGGATGCTTGATCAAAATGCAAATTCCCACACAGCAGGTGTAGGAATCTGTATCTAACCAGCAGTTTGATGTTCATGATGAGGTTTGAGAGAATACACTTCGAGAAACAAAGATCCAATGCCTGTGTCCTAGGCAGGAAATCCTATTCTATTTTCACCAATTTTTAAATAATAGTTAAGTTCAATTATATCATTTAAATGGTTTCATTTCAGTAAAATGTATTTTAAATTTAGGATCTTAACATTAATGATAAAATATTTTGTCAAAAATCACCATTATTATGTTAGACACGGTCCGGGTGAAACCCAAAAGAGAAATCCTAAAGAAAGCATACAATAAAAACAACAACAATAAAAAACAAAAACAGGCTATCCTATTTATTGTTGAGAGGCAAACACAGAGGTCAATTTCAAACAACATAAAATATGTAATTTCTGATTTCTAAAGTATAAGGTAGAAGCATTTTGTTTATCTTAATTATGTTATCTAGAAAATTTTTTTTATTAACTTGAAAGGTTGCTTGGTGGAAGTCTTTGAATTACCACATCCAATGATAAAAATAAAATTTCTAATAAACTGAGTTTTATCTACACACTACTTTTTGTACTACTATATACATATATGAATAGCTATGTTATTTTAAAATGACAATCATAATTGTCAAAAATCCACATAACTTTATAAAATGATATAAACTAAAATTCACTAAACTAGTTAGCTATTTCTACAGGCACATTTTTGAGGGATCACATTTCCAAATCTCAAATATACAAAAGTTTTATGCTTTAATAGACTTAACTTTCAGTCATGCTGTTTTCTTCCAGTTGAAATTGTTTATTTATTAACAATAAAGATGTTTATATTTCCATCAAAAACATGAAAGCCACAGGTTGAATGTAATTATTTGCCATGCTGGCTTCCTTGACTGTTTACATGGAAAGCCGAAAGGGCCAGCACATCTGTTTTTCTTGGCTACTTGTTCAAATATCTATCACAAGCGTCTTCTAACTTCAAACAAAAACTTTCTAAGTAATAAACAGTCACAGACAACTTTAGGAGAAGAATTTCCAGGTTCTCAACTTTCACATGGGATCTTTTAAATACTTGTCTGAGATGTAGACTGAGTTTGTACATCCTGCCATCCCAAACCTAGTATGGTACATACTCTGGGGTGTATTGCTTTATAAATTTTGTTTGGCTCCTCAAAGTCAAAGACTTCGACTTTTACCAATTAGGATTTCCTGCCTTTAAATAATTAAACCCATAGCATTCTCTGTCTTATGCATATTTTGACAAAGGTGAAATCTACCATTAGAAACATGGTTTGAGGCCTGAATTGGGATGTTCTGAATTTAGGACATATGAAGGGGCTACATGTTAATGAGGCTGATTCTTCTAACCAGAACTAGAATATTCTTCTAACCAGAAGAATATTGAAAAAGCTCAACTTGAAAAAGCTCAAGATAAAGTAGCAGCTTAAAATTTTACTAATTTCTTTCAGATGATTTAGTGTACTTTTTATTCACAAGGTATTTAATATTATGAAATCATATCATGAAATATTCATTCTAGTTAAGGTTGCTCTTCTTTTTTTTTTTTTCCCCCCCCTGAGATGGAGGTCTCACTCTATCACCCAGGATGGAGTGCAATGGCACGATCTTGGCTCACTGCAACCTCTGCCTCCCGGATTCAAGCGATTCTCTTACTTCAGCCTCTCAAGTAGCCGGGATTACAGGCACCCGCCATCATGCCCAGCTATATTTCGTTATTTTTGTAGAGATGGCGTTTCACCATCTCTACATGTTTGCCAGGCTGGTCTTTAACTGACCTCAGGCGATCCGCCTGCCTTGGCCTCCCAAAGTGTTAGGATACAGGCATGAGCCATAATGCCCAGACTCCTCCTCTTTATAAAATATTCACTATTTCCTACCTCTTTTTTTTTTTTTACAAAAATAAATTGATTGAAACATGTTGAAAAACCTTTGGGTGTCAATTTAAAAGTAAGTTAGTGGTCAAGAGTTTTCAAGTTCTTTTAAGGGATATGTGAGCAAAAAAGTTCAAGTCTGTTGGATTTAATTCAGCAGCTTTAATTTTAGCCAGTCTGCTATTAGCGGGACTGGCGAAGACAACCATGGGATGGTCCAGAATGTTCGCGTGGATGTTGTCACCTGCCATAGTCCCCTGGGTGGAGCCCTCCTACCTCTGTATCTCCTCCGCATTTCAGCACCATGCTAACACACAATGACTGACACATTCACACCTTTTCAACTCATCCTCAGTCAAGCCCTTCTTTGCAAGACTTTCCCTTCTTTCTACTGGGCCTCAATCTTAGTTGAGAAACAGCCATTCCATCTGCAGGATAATAAAACTAAAGACAAATGTCACACTGTCATATCCTCTCCTAATAGCCTGGAATGAGCCACAAGAGGAGGTTAAAAGGGTAAAGACACTATCGTTGATTTTACATGAATAACAGGGAAGGAAATAGTTTTAAAGTCAAGTAACAGGAATATGTTTTTTAGTTAATAACAAAATCAAGTAAGACCAGAGAAGACTGACAGTAAAATATAAAACTATTACAACTGTCTTGCATTTACCTCTAGTTTTAGAAATTTTTCTGACCCATTACTTTTAAAAACTTTTTAATAAGTCTAATACACACAATGAAATAGAATAGTCATTAAGTGCATGTGATTAATTTTCACACATTGAATACACCTGTGAATTCAGTGTCCAGGTCGAGAAAAAGAACATCACCAGTACCCCAGAAGCCTTCCTCATGTTTTCTTCTTCCACTCACTCACTCTCACCAAGAAAACCTGCTATCCTGACTTGAAACATCATAGTTTTGTTTGGCCTATTTTTGTAACACATATGAATGGACTCTTAAAAGGTACACTCTTTCGTGTCTGGCTTCTTTTGCTCAACATTATAGTTTGTAAATTTCATCCATGTTGTTGTGTATTTATAGATAATTTATCCTCATTGCTGCATAACATTTCATTGTGTGAATATATTATTATTTATTTTTCTATTCTATTGGACATTACATTCTATTAGTTTTCAGTTTTTGGCTATTTCCATTATTTGGTGATCATGTGCATGAAACTCTTTTGGGTATATATGTAGGAGTGGAATTCCTGGGTCATAGAAAAATCAAGTGTTCAGCCATGATACGAATGACAATTTGCCAAAGTGGTCATATTAATTTACTTTCCCTGCCATGAGGAAAAGATGCTCCATTATCTTCAGCAACACTGAATACAGTTAACCTTTCTTATTTTAACCATTCTGGTGGGCATGTAGTGGTACTCCACTGTGGTTTTAATTTTCATTTGGATATCCTCTTTTGTAAAGTGCCCATTCAAATGTTTTGCCCATTTATCTATTGGATTGTCTGCTTTTTTCTTACTGTTTGTAGGAAGTTTTTAACATATTCTAGATATGAATATTTGTTATATTTATTGAAAATATCTTCTCCAATATATGGCTTGTCTTTTCATTTTTTTTAATGGTGTCTTCTAATAAATAAGAGTTCCTAATCTTAATATAGTCCAATTTATCAATTTCTTTCCTTTATGATTCATGCTTTTTGCCTCCTGTTGAAGACATTTTGCTTACTCTCCAAGGTTATGAAAGATTTTACGTTTCTTCCAAAAGCTTTATTGTTTCACTTTTCAAATTTTGATCTGCCATCCACCTAGAACTCACTTGTACACTTTTATCTGCCATTTACCAAAGCATCCACCTATATGTTCTGAGGTAGAAATTAAGATTTTTTTTTCAATATGGATCATGATCCACTTGATTTTAATTGATAAAATTTGAACAGGCAATACAAGCATATAGGACAGTTTCTAAAAGCTACAAATGGGTATAGAGTGAAAGTAGGTTACCTGCTGATCTCAATCCTTTGTTACCAAGTTTCCCTCTTCACAACAACCAATGTTACCAATGGATTGTATATAATTTTCAATATTTTGTATTTCTTATTCTTTTCCTTTCAAAACGGGGGGGAAACATACATCCTATTCTAGACTCTGCGTCTTACCATTACATATTAGAAATAGCACCATATTATTATGTATACATTTGCCTTAATCTTTCTAATAGCTGCACTCTATTATATATGG